GCATCCTGGCCTGTACCAGAAATAGTGTGCCCAGCAGGATGGCGGCAGTGATCATCCCCCTGTACTCGTCACTGCTGAGGCTGCACCTCGAATACTGTTTTCAGTTTTGGGCCCCTCATGACAAGAAAGACCTTAAGGTGCCCTTCTCTGGACTCGCTCCGGCGAAGCTGGTGAAGGGCCTGGAGCACAAGTCTGAAGGGGAGCGGCTGAGGGAGCTGGGGTTGTTTAGCCTGGAGAAGAGGAGGCTGAGGGGAGACCTTATCGCTCTTTACAACTACCTGAAAGGAGGTTGTAGCGAGGTGGGGGTTGGCCTCTTCTCCCAGGCAACCAGTGACAGGACAAGAGGAAATGGCCTCCAGTTGTGCCGGTGGAGGTTTAGATTGGATATTAGGAAAGAGTTCTTCACCCGAAAGGGTTGTCAACAGGGAACAAAGGGAACAGGCTGCCCAGGGAAGTGGTGGAGTGTCCATCCCTGGAGGTATTTAAAAGACGTGTAAATGTGGTGCTTAGGGACACGGTTTAGTGGTGGACTTGGTAGCATTAGGTTAATGGTTGGACTTGATCTTAAGTGTCTTTTCCAACCTAAATGATTCTATGATTCTATAATAATTGATTTGTCTTGATTCCTAGATATTGTTTCTAAACTGGTTATATATATGATTAACACCAAAAATATGAAAAATACCAAAATTCTCTGCAGAGTAAATAAAAAAATATTTCATACATTTAAGAAAATAAAAATTACTGCATTTGATCAGGTTGCAATAGCATATAATAGTAAATAGCTTTAACCTATAGGAATAGATTAAAAAAAATAAAAATCAAGAACAGTAATACATGGTGGTATTCTCTGCTGTTCTCAGATTCCACTGGCTTGTGATGAGAGACAATCCTGTGCCAGAGATGCTAACTTTGTGATCAATAACATAAAAAAAAAAATTCTTATACTAATTAATCTTACTGTTTTATACCTTCAAAACATTTTAACCTTCACAACTTCCCACTACAAAGAGTTACACCACTCTGTAGAATGCTAGAATATCATCTCCCTAAGTTTGCTTTAAAATCATGAGCTAACAACATCTGACTTGTAAACTTCAGACCTCTACAGACAGTGAATTCCTTTTCTAAAAAGTGTTAGGGAACAATCCGGAAAAGAACTATGACAAAATTAATTTTAATGTCAGTTAAGGGATTGCAAGTTATTTCAAGTTTCCATTAAATTTTAATATAGTATCAATAGAGCTTTTAATTAAAATGTTTGTTAAAAGCAATAACCTACTTCAGATTATATACAAATTTAGTGTATTGTTTTAATATAAACCTCTTAAGTACATGAGAAATGAATGTTAACCTGTATGCACAAAATGGCTTGGTTTTTAGGTTTGGGATCCTGCTGATGAGATATTGGAGTTATACTAAACACAAGGTCTATTTAAGTAGTTTCACTTGGTAACAAACTGTACTTAGTGAAGCTTACTGAATACGCACATGTATGTGCAAATTATGCTTATGTAAATCTCTATGCAGCATTAGTATTAGATGTTCAGACATGTTAATGACAACAGCATGAATTACACACATCAGAAGAAAGATTAAAAGCATAAAATCACACAAAATACGTGACAAAAAAGGAACTATTTTTGTATTAATAATAAATACTTGGTCCCCATCTGTTTAAGTGAAGAAAAAACTGACTACAAAAATAATGGAAAAAACACTGTATAAAAATGAGAAACTTACCAAATTCCCTTATATTTCTCTATTCTTTTTCAATTTACTTTAAACAATGAAGTAGAAAACTTTTACATAACTTTTACATAACCTATGCTAACTTGTTAAGCTCAGACCACTGAAAGAATTGCTTGTGTGTTTTACTTCACACATAGCGACATTGAAAATGGATGAAAATTAATGGAGGCTGTGAAGTTAAGTTTCTCTCTCTACATCCATGAAACACTATATTACTGTCTTCTCATCTGTTTCTGGCTCCTCTGCCTCAGTGTTCCTTTCACTCCCAAAACCCGACACTTTCGATCAGTTCCCCAACCACTCAGACTGACATGCTTCTGTGGTTTCCATAGTCCCCTACATCTTTAACACTTTACACTGGTGACCTTGAAGGCTCTGGACCTTTTTACTCAAGTCCCATTGTTTAAACAAGACATAAAACCTGTAACAATATTTCTTAATATATTATTTAAAGCTTTTTTCCTGTACACTGCTACATACTCTTAGTACAGTACCTCACATTTGCCACGGGATCATGTGTAAGTTCAAGCACAGGTAGAAAGAAGTATTTACAGAAGAATGATTTTGAAAACAGTTCCATAATGAATTCACAAGTATCTAAAAAACGAAGTCTGTTCCAATAACTTTTTCCTTGGCCCAGTTCTGAAAGATAACAATCCACAGATATTAAGTTTTCAATGTCAGATAGAAAACATTTCAAAGGTTAACCTTTGACTCAAAGATGATAGTGACACTCATCAAAAGGCACACCTTCTCAGTCTATCTCAATTCTTTCTTTCAATTAAAACCTAACTTTCTGAATTTAGTTATCACTTCTGTCAGTGAGCATTCTTTTTGTAAATACAATCTGTCCCTTTAACTATTTGAAAAAGCAAAAATACCAAGTGTTGAACAAAGCCCTGTATGCTTTTCAAACCATGACATAGGTGTATCAAAATTACTGTATAAACATTAAGGATTGATAATGGGAACTATTCAAACTTCTAACCTACCTTTAAAACACATAGCATAAACCAGAAAGTCAACTTAGGTGACTAACTCACTCATAAATTAATTTCTGAGAACATTTATTCAGCACTACTTATGCTGAAGCCTCTAGAGAATTTTACTTCTACAGAGGAACTCTATTTTGTATATACTTACAGCTAAGCAATTTTGGATTCAAGAAGTAGGGTTGGAGGGGTCTTAGCATATTATAAATTTCCCACATTGCCTCTTTCCCAATTCCTTTGCGTAAGTTTCAGATATATTCCTCACATACGCACAATATGTTTTGCCTGGTGATAATATGAGCAACTGAATGTCTTCTAAGTGTAATCCCTCCAATGATGGCAGGAAGTTACACTGAATAAATATAACCATAAATAGATCTTCAGTCAAAACTAACTTGCATCTCTAAGTAACCAAGGACAAATTATCTTACGTTCAATCAGTTTCTGAATAACCTCATGCCTCTGTTCTTGTTTGCGATTATAACGCAAATAAACGCAGAGAGTTCGAGCAGCTGCTTTTTGGACTGGCAGGACATTCTTGAAAGAAATAAAGGGAACACAATTAAACATATCTGAAGGAACATGACTAAAAACGTATAAAAATTCCAAAAGTAGAAAAAAATAGCTAAAAATTACCCTAACTTAATAAATTTTGAAACAATTGGCATAACGTAAAGGACAATAAAGAAGTTTGGCCAACTTATGAGATACCTACTTCTTTATCTCTTCTGCTTAACTTGTTTATTCAGCTATTTCATAACTGTTTTAAAGTATTCCATGTTTGGAAGGCACCTTCTATATTGCAGATGTTAGAAAATAAAACCTACAACAACTTCTCTTAGAACAGACAGTTTTACTCTTGAATTAATTCAATATAATTTCAGACTAGTAGCTCTAAACAATCATTCATTTTCCGAATAAAGTGTTCTTTCATAAAGAATGGAACACAATGCAAAGTACTGTATGGAATCAGGAAAAAGAAGGCGTATCTCAGAGGAAAAAGTTTTGATTTCCCCCGAAACAAACTGATAATAAGCACAAGGAAAGGAAAGAAGTCTTGGGTGGGAGGAAAAACATGACAATCCGTCAATCCAAATTTTACTACTCAAATGGTGGAGAGTTCTTGGAGCAATTTCTCAGTCGTATATAAAAAACCACAGTCTAATATACCATATGCAATGAGAAACAGTACTTCAAGATTAATATAAAGTACTACACATAGCAAATATCGGATGGTCATTGTTCTAAATAGTGTAAACAAATAAAAACCAACGGGAAAGACAGAGGCAGGCTCACATTTGTCAAAATGATTGTCAACATTCTGTGAAGAAAACGGTAATAAATCTGATCACTTGATATGATATGAGGGAGACATGCATATTTGTGTAGTAACTTCTCATGAGTTCTCCATTTTAAAGAAGTTGCTGCTCTCTGTTCTGCTGTTGTTAATGCAGGAATCAAGTCAGGAATAGACAATAACTAGAAATAAAAATATAAACATTAAAATAATTTTACATCTTCTAGCTGCATGTCATGTTACTATGCCTAAAAAGCACATCACAACAATGTAAGAAGGGAAGAGATTTTAAGGGGTGAATTAATTCCCCTCCTCAGACAGGATCAGCTACACTGTGACCATTTCCAGTAGGTATTAGCCTAACTTGTTCTTAAAAAGCTTAATGAACAAGTTTAAACAATCTCCCTAAGCAGTAAATTCCACTTAACTAGTCAAAAAGCTAGTCCAGTACTTAACTAAATACACTTCCATTTCCAACCTCTCCTCCTGACAAAGAAAAATTAATCACTGTTCTCTTTATAATGCCCTTTTACAGATATGAAGACCATTACAACAACCCTCCTCAGTCTTCTCTTTGTCAAACAAAATTAAATCCTATCTTCCTCATAGCCTCTTAATCTTTGCAGTTATTGTTCTCAGTTCCCTAATTAATTTTAATAGGAATTATACACCTTTTCTCAGTAGGAGGCAAAGACTTTACAGTAGCCAAGATAAATTCTCTTTAGCACTAAGCAAAATGAAACAGACTGCCACACTTGACGTTGCACTTGTTATACATTATATACATTTACAGCTGTAATCATCTGACAAAATCACATTCTGAATTACACTTTCAACTTTCATCCATACAAAAAAATAAACATTCAGTTCTTACATTGTTGTACTATTTCAATTTCTCTATACATTTAGGAAGTATGCTCAAAACAGTATATTGAATCAGGAGATGATCTTTTATGTTCAGTTTTACAGGTGAGGAGTCACTGAATAAACCATCATCCCAAACCATATACAATTAAATCAGCAAAGTTGGGAGTTTAATACAGATCTCCTAAATCCTAATTCAGTGCCTTTACTTCAAGAAATAGGCTTCCTTCTAGCAGAAACCGTGTCTGAAAATGGCAACTCTGGGCAGCTGCCATATCAATATAAAAAAAAAAGTAGGTATTAGCTATCACTCCTTTAGCATGAAACCAAGTTTTGTTTTAAGTTAATGATTGTATTTCAAAATTTGATCTACTTCAGCAAATCTGTGGTTAATTAGAAAAAGAACATGGATAAACTGTTCATTTTTATATTCAGTCTAATCTTTCAAAACCTTTCTTTTTATTTTCAAGTTTATAAAGTCAACAATCAAAAAAAATAGAAACTTTGTGTCTCTCCAAAGTCGAAACTAACCATGAAAGCCTTTTCATACAATATATGTCTGAACAACTTTGCTACCACCTTCATTTAGAGAGAAAATTAAACATGAGCATACCCACCTTGCTTTCTGATCCACTGTTTTCTCCTCCATTAGTCATTAGTTCAAGGATTTCAGGAAGGTGACCTACCAGGGCATCTAACACCTATTTAAAGAAAGGCTGCATGAATGAGGTCTGTAAATTAACTCAATTTTTATCTCTCACCAACATATCCCTGTCGACATCTCTTATGTTACTTTTCTCTGACGTCCACGTTAAAAAAAGCAACACAAAAACAAACAAAAAACCACAACAGAATAAGATGCAATGTATTTGCATTGATCAGGACTGGGATTTAAAGTTGATGTTTTAATGTAGTAAGTTATATAAGTATTATAGGTTTCAGTTTAGGAAAACAAACTATATTTTTGATTTATATGAATGCCACAGTTAATGTTTTTTAAACTATTCACAGCATACAATATTTTAAAATGAACATTCATTCTTAAGAAAGATCTGTATTTCACAGATAATTAAGAGCCTTGACAAACACAAAGAACCTTTTTTTATATTTGTCAGCTGAATCTTAAAAGCAATTTTTCCTGCTTTAAGAAAAACTGTAGTTTATCAATTAAAATAGAATATATAGCTATTAATAGAATAACCCTACTTTCAAATGTTGTAATACTTGAAGTAGTCTAGAAAAGCACATAATTAAATATTTTTTGGTACCAATTCCAACTGAGGTAGTATATAAGAAAAAGCACCAAATATTTTTTATTATTTAGATAACTTTACAGGGTTCCAACCAAGGAACTTTTCAAAATCACCAGCTGCTTCTGAGTCTCAGCTTTCAGGTGCTCAACTTCAGAAATCCTTTAAGATGGGTCAGAATTTCATAAATTATAAGTAGATGTTCTATGAACACTTTTAATTTCCTTGAAAATATCTAACAAAGGGTACCAAAACAAAAAGGAGCATCGGAAAGCAAAACTCAATTTTTCCATGCCATATCCAAAGATCCTACAGAGAAAACAAAAAAGATCAACTATTGGAATAACTAGTATCAGAAGAAATGGTGATTTTGTCTCAAACAAAAATATTCGTCTTTTTTTCAATCCAAAAAAGTCTCACTATATTGTCTGTAATATAGCTAAGTTATTCATGTTTTACGCAGGTTGAAACCATGGGACACTAAACTGTCTCAAACACTCACATGTTCTGTACCAGATCTTGGACTGAAACTCTTTCTATAAATCACGATCTTTGAACCATACACAACTTCTTCATCTTCAATTTGACAAATGAAAATAAAATGAAGCAAGAACCTTGACAGCTATCAATGATTACTTGAATATAGTATCAAAACAAAATCTTTCCACAGAATTTGTAAGGTAATAAATAATATAGCAATTAAAACAATTTAGAATGAATATTTTTAAAAGTTAATAAATTCAGTGCAGGTTTACTAAATTCAAAAACCTTCCTATTTTCCTCCTTTTTATTCACAGAAGGCTGGTATCTTTATGAAGCATCTGTGAAACAGAAGCAAAAGCTCTTGATCATTTCAAACAATTATTCTACTGTCTTATTGCAGAGTTACTAAACATCAAGATAATCTGCCTCAATGTAACAAGCAAAAGAAAGTTCCAATAAAAGTATATTACCTCCAGTGACTCATCCTGTAATAATGTAACCAGTTCTTTATGTATTGTATACACACCCGAATTTAAAAGCTTAGCAACCTAGAAAATGACAGTAAGATGGCAAGATGAAACATTCTTTAGTTCGATGGCACCACAACACGTGCTTACTTTACAGCAAGCATGAAGAATGGATGCAGAACAATTGTTTAATATCAGCCTTCTAAAGCTGTATACTTTCCCACTGATCACATTAAAGATACACCTATATAAAGAATACAAGTCAAGAAACAGGTCTATTATTTAACCATGAAACACGCTTTTGAGAATTAACTCTTATTTCACATTTATCAAAAATTTTTAAGACTGCACTTCAAGGCTAGGAAAATGCCTTCTGGAATATTTAAATGTTGTAATTCATGCTCCTTAGGAGAGTTATCAGTCTGTCTGCTATATAATTTACAAAAGCTAAAATATAAAAACTGGCTTAGCCTGTGCTGGATTTGAAGTCTCCCCAACCTTTCCATCTGAAGTTTTCACTCCTTACTTCTTTGGGTTTTTTGACTGTGATTCATAAGTCACATATACATTTCTAAAAGACACCAGCAGTCCATCTCCACACTGTTAAAAAGGTTTTATGGCAAATATGAGAAAAACTTGAGGAATGAGATTTTTGCCATACAGAATATTTAGGTGATGCTTTTTAATGGTTTTCTTTATTTATATAAGCCAATTGAAAATAATACCTTACTTCCAATCAAGATGAAGCTTTAAGGAAATGGCTACAGGGAGTTTATTTAAAAAAAAAAAAAAATCCACCTAGCAGTGAATGCCATAAATCACTCATTTTTGGCTGTCACATGGTTGCCTAGTTATGGTGTTAAAATTAAATCAACCAGCACTAAATGTACATTCAGACCAAGGTATATTTTTACAGGTTTTTTTAAATGAGCTAAAATACTTTGCTTATATTCATGCAGTACCTTAAAAGCGTTACATATTAAACACTAAATTTTATGTAGAATTAGATCCTAATTTTACAATTTCAGCAATTACCTTGGATTATCGTTCATTAAGACAAAGCATCAATAAGTAACAAGAACTGGAAATCCATCCATCTTTCTTATAACGGTGGAAATAAAGCCATTTATGCCTCTACTAGTGATTTAAATGCTTTCAGCACGCTGCTTAAATTACCAATTTCCCCAGCAACAAAATGGGATAAAAAGCTAGCTTGAGGACTGAAATACAAGAACTCTCAGTAAAACATTACGAAAACTTTGAAGATCTCCCTATACGGGTTACTGTAACCTGGAGAGAGTGTATTTTCATTTCTGGAATTCACACCACATAGCTAATAAGATCTATGCAGTTGTAAATTTTTTAAACTTTTATGAAAATAATACCGCAGAACTGTACAGTGTAAACTGAACACAACAATAAGAATATGTATGCTTTTACACCTGCATAATTTCCAAGTAGTTTCATATTAAATTGAGCATCTAACTTCGATTTGATCCATACAAATATTCCCCACAGAACACCAGCATACACCAAACTGTACAGTTCTAAGGTTTTCAGGACCAGAAGTGGCAAGTTCCTTTCTCCTGTCTGTCTCGTCAATTTCTAATAGCATTTAAAACCTTCAAATATTGTAATGACTACAGTTGCTTATGTTTGTGGTACTAGACCATCATAAGTTTCTTCTAGCTTTTGCTTCTTAAAAGCTTACGTAGCAGTGGGCTCTTATAGCCAAATGTCACATAATTTAAATAGAGTAATGTGTGTATATGGGCTATATAGAGAGGTTAGAAGGGACTGAACACCTTTGACAAACTAAATCGTTTCAACAAGTTTTCTCAAGTCTTTTTATTTTGGTTGAACAGTCACAAATGTAAGCTTAAAGAAGAAAATCTAAAATAAAAACGTATAAGTATTAACAAAGAACTGTTGTAGACTTACTTCATAGAAGCTTATGGCCATAGTATATCTGACAGGAACTTCAGGATCATGACAAAGGCAGAAGAATATAGAATATAGTTCTAAATGGAAGTTCTTTGGATCCACAAAAACAATCATGGCCTGTGGAAAAATAGTCTTTTATTAACTGTATAGCTAAAGGACTATACTATCAGAGATTATCAGATGAAAACACCAGTTACAACCAGCAAAACACTTGGGAGGTAACAGGTTGTGATTTTAAAGAGAAAGAGTGGCATTTTTGATAGCCGTGTCAAAACACAGGCACCAGACAAATTCTGGAGTTGAAAACTAAACTGGATTTACATATCTTCCAGACATGCTGCAGGCTTTTTTCCTGAGGACATCAGTTAAAACCACAAGATATAAAATCTTAGTTTTATAAATATTGTTAATGTTTCCATACACTAGTGGAAGTTGCAACTGGAGACTTCAAAAGCAAAGTACATTTTAGCAAGCAGCAAAGTACGCATCTGAATTTCAACATAATTTTGTGTGTACATACCTTGGTTTTGCTCAAATAAACCAACAGATGTGTACCTACATACAGGGTGTTTGTCTTTAAAAGGTAGAATAAAAATAACTGTCTACTGGTTTTTGGTACAAACATTTTCTTTAAATATAAATGCAGAATGTCAAAATACAAAGTAGATTTATAGAAATACGAGTGCTAAGTTTAAAGACCTCAGATAAACTTGAAAAGACTCTTTGTATTCAGGCAGGAACATGACTGAAAACATGAATCTAACCATTCAGATTCAATCTTCAGCTCCCTAGAATGGCATGACACACTGCAAACACGAAAACCTAGCTTTGACTGATTTGAAGCTGGAGACTCTGTTTCACAGCCATTTTCTCAAAGTCTTTATGCTAAGAGTTTGGAGAAAATGTGTAGGAAAATGAGACCAGTAACCTCCCAGAGCAGCACTTGCTCGTTCAAAACTTGCCAATAATTTTCTGAGACTCTGCAAAGAGGAATCCTTCCTGTTAACTCTTTTGGACAACCTCTACTTTAAGTCATTAACTTGAACTTTCCAGGAGAGAGCTAGAATCTAGCTAACAATGTGCAATTTGAGAATAACTTCTCTATCACTCATGCTGTCCTATTTAGTGAACTATATGCATGACACAAATTACCTAACCTTAAATTAATGTTACTTACTGGAAAATTGTAAGCACAGTTCTTCCTCACAGAAATATACTTCTTTTCCTGTTCCAAAGTTTGAAGCTGTAGTTGATTATCATTGTGTCCATTTTCCTGCTGTAAACCCAGTGTGGAAAGCTTCTTATAGAATTCCAAAAACCGTAAGTGCTGTTCAGGAGTAAAAATGCCTCAAAAAAAAAAACCAAAACCCAAACACAAAACAAAACAAAAACCAAAATGAAAACCAACCACACTTTACTTTCCTCGTTACAAATGTTATTAATAATGTCCCAAAACAAATCTCATTTACAAATCTATCAAATATGTCATTTTTATCCCTCCTCCCTCTGCCTTGAGTCTAGCAGAATATCATCAGTACACATTATACAGAAAAAGTGACTACAGAAAAATGACAGCTAACTATAACAGAGTGAATCTTAATTTCTGTTTACATAATTCTTGAAATACTCAGGATTTTAACTGCAGGATTGTGAATATATTTATTTGTTTCACTAATATTGGTTTCTTCTTGATTACATTTTTAGATCTTTATGGAATTCAGTCACATGAAGAACGCATGCCTGCAGAAAGTTGAATTAGGCCACGTTGCTACAGATAATAAAGAGGTATAAGAATAAAATCAGAAAACTCAAAAACCAAACTGGAATGCAACTAGCAAGATTACTTCAAAAATTACAAGTCATTTTAGAAGTACTTTAGTAATAACAGAACAATCAAGAAAAGGCTCAGTTTTCTACTCGAGAGAGAAAACTATCAGTGTTTGGTATCAAGAAGGCTGAAATGCTTAATGCTTTTCTCTTCTTTCTCAAGTTTCATTAGTATCATCAGGCTCAGTACAATTAATAAGTAAAGATCCAAGTTTTAAGCAGAGAAGGAACCAGTCAGTTCCTTCTGAATACTCAAACATGAGAGGTTTTCAAAATGTGCAAGGTCAGATGTGCTTCATTCCAGTATCCAAAAGTATTTAAAATACCAGCTGCTGAAATCTTAAATAAGGGAGATATCAGAATGGAAAAGGGCTGAAGTGGTACTGATACTTAATAGTTGGAGGGGAAGGACAAGCCGTGTAATTACAGATCAGTCAGTTTCACATTTTTGAAAAAATCTGAACAAAGAAATCAAAACAATCTACTTGTAAATACTGAAAAGAAAACAAGAAAATGAGTAGCTGCCAACATGGCAAAGGCAAAAAATTTATCAAAGATTCCATTCCCTTCTAGCACTGGATAACAGGACCTGTGAATACAAAAGAGGCAATAAAGGTCATGTTTTTCACAAGCAAAATAAGGGATCAGGAAAGAGAGATGAAAAACTATAAAAGTGTTGCAAAATTGCTTGGAAAAACAGTTAAGAGCAAGTTACCCATGGTTCACTGACAAGACAGGCAACTGTATAAAGAAAGGTCTATCCTAGTTCCGGTACTATTCAGTATTTTCATTGGTTTTCTGGATGTTGGATTAGAGACTTTGTTTATTCAATATTCTGATAACTTCAGCCTAGGAGGAAGGCTGCTTATTCTTCAGAAGATAGAGTTTAAAATGATCTTCAGAAATTGGACATATGGTCTTAAAAAAAAAAGGCACTTCATAGGCTGCACTTGAACAAATAATGTCAAATTGTTGCAAAAAAGGGCTGGTTTTTATACCAAAAAACGTAAACAGCAATATACCTTGCAAGACACTTGAAGTAACCCTTTCACTTTGTTCAGCTCTCCTAAGGCATAACTCTTAAAGAAAAATATAAACTTGCAAGACGAGTTCAGATGTGAAAAGATAGCAGCAATTAAAGCCATTCAACCAAGAGAAAGGACGACTGGGGAGACATGATAAAAACAGGATGGACTGTTCTAGTTCTATGTTTCTGTAAATAAGTTTGACACGAGAACAGTCCTTTTGAGTTATTTGTAGTGAAGCAGCAGTCACTTTGATAGTCTCTAACATGATCGTAAAGGATCATTTTAAAAATCTGTAAGAAAGATCAAAGGGTTTAAGAGTCTAGGGGGAAATTATAATGTAAAACCATGATTCTGTGCTGTTCCTCCCCAGGTAAGCTCTGTGTAGAGGGTATATGGTGGGCAGAATGATCAAGGAAAGATCTGCTGTGCTCATGTGAAAACCACAAAAATTATGGGTACAGATTTGGCCTCAAGCTGCAGCTGGGACTCCATATGTCATTAGGTCTCTTTTCTCCCCTGAAGTTCTTTATAGGCCATACTCCCTCCTGTGCCTCAAAAAGGATATCAAGCACAGAAGTGAACATAGATAGTTAACATCACACTGTGTTTTCAAAGATTTTTAGTTTCAGAGATTCAGTCATCCAACTCAAAAGCTGCAGAATATCCAAGAAGCAATCAAAATAAATCAAACCAATAAACACAAATCACCCTGTTTCCATCTCTGTCCCTGTCTAAACATAAAAGAAACCAATAAACACTCAAAGAGGAAATTCACAAAATCTAATATTTTTCCAATAGATGATATCAGACATTTACTTCCATATTTCCTTTCCTGTCACTTCATTTGATACATTCAAATCTGGATATTTTCCAAGGGCTTCAAATTATCCATTCCTCCCTCATTTTTAAGATTTTTTTTTTTTTTAAAGAACATTAAATCATACCATATAATCCATTACACAGTTTCCCTAAATGGAAAGATAAAGAAATTAGGATAGATTCATCTGCTTTGAAGGATTTTTCACAGAATGATTTCACTAAGGGGAGCACAGTTTGACTCCTATCATCTGAAAAACAAAAGAAATTTTTAACGTTAGTGATTTGTCAACATCTAGAAAAGAGCACAGAGAATGGACTTCCAAAATAAGTTATGAAAAATCTCATTTAACATGCTCAGGAGTATTTTGGCAGGCATTCACTGGAGGAAGAAAACAAGAGGTACAGAGAATGAAGGACATACTACTGTAACACAGGTCCTAAATTTTAAAACCTTACCCGTTTTCTCTGCTTGTTTTTAGGGAAAAGGCATCCCCCAGTAAAGGATGAGACAGAATAAATGAACAGTCACTAACTTCTCCATTCACTAAGAATACAGGGAGAGAAAGAATACTGCAGTACTCCTACAATAAGATTTCCTACAATAGTGGGAATACAGGGGGAGCAAAACCAAACATGTCCGTGATAGTAAAAAGAAAAATCTGGATATGCTGGAAGTGAGGGGTTTTTTCAACCTGCTGATAAGAGTAGGTTGAAAAATCTTTTGGTAAACAATAAATTCACAGGGAAACAAAATAATTAAGGGCAGAGGAAAGAAGTGAAATCATTTAGAAATTAAAGTCAAATCCAAGCACTCTGCCCCCTTATAAAATAAAGGAGCAAATATGCAAAGAAATTTATGTGTTCTGCTTTGTTTTAAATAAAACCATTGTATTTCAAAATGTTCAAGTTTTAAAGGCACTAGGATTTTTTTAATGGTAGATCAACACCAAAATTCAGCAAATAATTATGGCTGAACAAAATACTTAGGTTGACCTGAAGAAATATTTTCGTACTGTGGGAAAGAAACCCTAGGATATAATTTTGGGTCATCTACCTTCAAAATGTTCATTTTCTAGTTCAGCCTCGAAACCAAAAACTACATAAACCAAATTTCCAGAAAGACATTCCCCTTACAAACTTGTAAATAAATGCTGATTGTTTTCTCTAAGCTTTTTTCAATAACTAAACGCAGTAGTTACAGGAACTGGGGAGTGAGGGAGGAAGAGTGAAGACTTAGAGGTGTAAAGAGAAGAACAAACTTGCTAGCATCAATGCAAAGGCTCAATAATTTGAAAATTAACCTACTATCATACCTACTGATATAAATACTAACTGCCAAAAAGTCCATTTAGGGTATTCTCCCAACTATCTTATTTCTTTATGTATTCCTCCATATGGATTATATGCAATCATATATTTTAGTAATTCACTACCAAGTTCCTGTACAGTAAATATTTGCTCCTCACTTTTGTATCAGGAAGGAGTAGTAGAGTCAGTAAGATGGGAGGGGGAAATGTGGTGCAAAATGCAGAGTTACTAATGAAGATAAACTACTGAAGAGTTTGGAAAAAGTATAAAGAGCAAAGTGGCAAAAAATGAGCAGTTGTCAACAATATAAAATATTTTTTTCATATACACTACATATTTCCAGTTGTGTAAAAAAAAAATAAATCAAAAAAACACAAACACAGCAGAGAGCACAACTGATAGAGCCAGAAAAGATGGTTGTTATTGCCTTCTACATGCCCCTGTAAAAATCTAGACAGAACAGTTGACTGGAAGACAAGGCACACACAAGGTTACCCAGAATGTTCCCCTATAGCAGAGCAGTCCAATAGCTCTCCTTAAAGTCTGCCCCAGTCAGTGTTGAACCAAACTTGTGATGAGAACCCGAGAGCCATGTGTGCATGTAACCCACCACCACTATGCCGAAAGAATGAGATACAACAGAGAATTTCTCCTTTCTCACATGAAGCCACAGACACTCACCCCTACACCTGGAGAAGCATGAAATACGCATGTTGATCAGAGGAAAGACACAGAGCACTGAGAAAAATAGAAGTATTTACATTTTCTGTTTTAAATATAAAAAAAGGTTTTACGAAATACACACACTTTCTCATTGCAAAGAAAGCTTTCAGTGCCATATAGCCACAAGTTTAAAGGGAATTAAATAGCAATTGCTGATGCTTAGTACCTCTAACCCCAATCATTTGTGCACACTGCATTTTATGGGACATGAAGAAATATTTTCTATTCCAAAATTTACAAATCTATTTGACACATAACACTGGATGTTAAAATCTGCAATGTTTATCGATACACACACAAATATCGTATCATTGCCCCAGTCTGGGTTCTTCAGCTCAGAAGGCAGGCTGCAGTCTGTGGTTAGGACTAGCTTTACTTCAGTTAAGAGGCAAAAACTAGTTAAGAGCCAAAAAAGCACAAGTAACAGCATCTGTTGAGCTAGCATTTTGTATTCTGTGTATTGATAGCATTAAGTAAATACTAACAGCCCAATATTCCTGGCATTTATACAGTAATTTTACTCATTCCATTTAGCCACATTAGAAACTTGGAATAAGATAACTGATTTTATGGACAACTGGTTCACCTTCCTTAAAACTTACTATATATAAAGCACTGCAAGATATGATATACATAAAAGACGAAACAATAAACAAAATAAAATCAGAAATGTCTGAAGAATGCAGACAGAACAAAAACTACTGAAATACATTTGTAAGATGCATTAAAGCATTAAGAACTGCTTAGCCTAGTAAGCCTAAATTAAATTCTTACCTGTATCAAACATATCGAGCAGATTCACTAATGTCTCAAAAGCTGCAAGGCGTACACTGCTGTCCTCATCTCTTGCCAGTTCTACTAATTCAGGAAGCACCACAGTTTTTGTTAGTTCTGTCCTGCAAAGTGAGGCAAGCAGTCAAGAGGAAACTTACAGTGAAACAGTATTTCCACAGCAAAACAGAATTCTTCGTTGAAATACTCATTTAGATATTTTTTGGGTAGTCAAGAAGGAAAAATTTGTGAAGTTGTAAGGAAATTAAAATTAAATAAAAACCTCCAGTCAATCTCAAGACTTTTTAATTTGTCAGCCAAAGAAACATGTAAATTTAAAATGCAAAAATTCATCACCAAAAAAAGCATTCAAATTAGCTCAAAATCAGAGAAAACATAGCCTGAAAAAACTCAAAGGAGTCTGGCTAATTCACCGTGTCACTAAGAAAAATCTGCTGATCAAATATGTAGAAACTGCTCAATGTGATAGTCCAAAGCCAAAAATTATTAAAATGAGTCATGCTGGATTGAACATGTTGGATTGATTCATGTTGTGTGTGGAAATCTTACAGTTCAAAGATGAGTCTTCTTTACAGAGGGTAAGCAACTACTGCTCAGAGAAAACGCAGTTTCCCAACTAGTCCAAACATTAGCTTTTACGCTTGTTTTAGAGTAGTAAAGAAAGGATTCTGCTTGTCTCTTTTTGCCTTGGTAATTACTAGCACTGCCTGCATGTGTGATGGTCCTGGCAACTTGAATCTACACATTGGCAGCAGATTGCTGTATTAGGGATCGACTTAGAAATCAGAGTTTAATCAGAGAGGTGACTGAGGAGTGAAATACTCTTGACAGAAGCATTTGGGCAGTAAGGTGACAGGCATAAGTAAGACAAAAAGACATTCGCTTCTTGGAGCAAAAGTATAGCTTCTGTAGAAGCTATCAACCAGCATAACTTCCCATGTCCCATTGTATAACTGATTCTTGATTACAGATCTTTTCTGTAGCCCTACTATCAATAAGAACTGGGAAGACATACCCAATATTCCACTTTTTTTTTTTCCTGTTGTGCTCATTTTACTTATAGTAGTCAAGAATTACAGTGTTTGAATTTGTCTGCATTTGAGTTAAGAAGCCCACTTTGTCCTGTTCTCATGTATGAGCTCTTGGTCTGCTTGGTCGCTAGTGAAAGTTGTGTACACCTCACTTCTCAAGAATGGCATCTCAGCAATTTATAATAGCCAGGGATCTGGTCCTCAACATTTATATTGTCCAAAACATAAAACTGCAGGGAAACACTCTGGTAAAATTACACAAAATTAAGCATTAAACCAAGGTGACAAAATCGAAACTGTTTGACATTTTGAGCGACTGTGTACGAAGACTTTAGACTCTGTCATTTCAATCACAGTTTTTAATACAGAACTGATCACAACCTCCAGAGTGCCAGATTTCTTCAGAAATAAAAATGCCCCAAATACCCCTTCCAATCAAACTAAACAAGTAACAGCTGTCCCCTTTGCAAATCACTATGAACAATAATACTTTCAAACATTTATAATCAGCATCAAAGTGATTTGCACCTTACAGAGTTTATTATTGTTACCAGCAAATCAAGAAGTAGCTTAACAGTATTCTTCCAAACAGATGATTAATCTCACACAAAATTATGAGAAAATGACATGATATCATTTAGCGGTAACATCACTAAATAGTAAAAATAAGCATTGGGATTGTTGTCACATTATGCCTTCAACATTTACCCAAAAATGTGCTTATTTCTGTTTATTTAATTGTCTTTATTTTCCTACTACCTATTCATCCTCAACATGAAACACTGCAATAGTTTACATACCAAAAATATCGACAGTTCACCATTGCTTATGAGATTAAAGCATCTAAATCATCAGGAAGGGACTAGGCAAAAACCTCAGAGGAAGAACAGTGTATATGGAGACTTTAATAATAAAAATAAAAGTTGGGGAGCAAAGAATTAAAGAAAAATATACAGAACAGACAACTAATTGATAACTACATACTCAGCCCTATTAAACCACTACTTTAAGGCTGGGTAAACTGCCAGTTATACTGGCATTTGCTACTGCATTTGTTTTAAAACTTTCAGCCCCCAGGTATAATAAATGCAGTTTAATTAATTTTAAAGAAAATTTTCTTCATTCTGTTTATTGTATTTCCTTTCCAAAATGGTCACTTATTAGTATAAGACATAGCCACCTTGTTACAAATGAAAACTTTTTTGCTTCTTCTTTCACACTGCTTAGTATGCGTTGAACTTAAACAGTATTTGGAGGAGGAATAAGGAAAACGACAAAAACACACACATTTAGTTCTTATTTTAACACCTGGGTGTACATATACCTATCTTAAATGTAAAACAAAATTGCTGAAAGCAAATTCACATAGACTGACATAAACTGTGAGTGCTTCCTAAAGGCTACCACCAAAACCATTTTCTGCTTTTCAACAGACTGAGACACAAGTTAAAGAAATCTCTGCAGCTGTACATTTTTTAAAACAGAAAAAATGTTTCAGTAATATCTGAAATGAATATTCTCTAACTATATGCATATCCTAGATAAGACTTTACTCAGAATAACACAGACTGTTTAAAAAAATAATTTTTCTGTATTATGTGTCACAAATGATTTTCAAAGCCAAATTCATATCATTACTTTTCAGATCTTGACTATAGTAGAGGTTAACTAAGGAGGTTAGAGGAATCCATGGAAATGCAGACGGTACCTCAAATAAGACACCAAAAAAATCTCATGAGATTGAGCAGTAACAAATGAGAAAAGAGGAAGGAATGTGACTGAGAGAGACAAGAATATATAGCCTAGGAATGGCCAGGGAGAGAAGGGTAGGACCACACGCTAAATCAAGACCCAGAAATTGGAGTGGAGGGAGAAAGGAAAACAAAAATGTTTTGCAAATATGTTTCTGTGGATTTCCATTTTGGTGGCATCAAAAATCTTCAAAGTAATACGACAGTTAGAACCGTCCCTCCCTTTGAAACTCAGTAGTTATGGAAAAAAATAACCTAGTCATACCTGAAGATAAACAGAACCCTCTCTTCCCCTCATCTTTAATCTCCCATTAAACAGAATTCAATTTTAAGATACATAAAGACACATGAGATACATGCATACTGTAAAAATAAATGCAAGCTCAAATTATTCAGTAATTCAGTTTAGTAGAATGTGCATTAAATTTCCAGTTTTATAAATATCAACAATATTGACAAATACTACCTTTCTTTTCTGTAATCACAAGTTCTTTTAAACTCAAAGTCATTCAATACAGAAAATGTTAAAATTATTTACTGTGCTAACCTATGTTTTGTTATAAAAGAAAATAAATACAAAACCAAACAAGTAACTTTACTGAGATGGGTAATACTGTGTTTTCACACTGTTCATATCCTTTGACCTTTCGCAAGACAAGGACCTTGGAGAACAGGTGCCTAAAGCACATATATAAAATTATTTTGTATGCAATAAAGACAAGTTTATCTAGGAATCTAGAAATTACTATCCTGTGTAACCTCACCAAAACAAGGTTAAATGAAGTACATGGCAGTAAAGCTTAGTTCTTGCTGTGAATATTCATTCCCCATATCTGAGTAAGTGAAAACTCTGCCTGAACGCACACTTTTCCAGTATTCCATGGCCGAGAGGTGAATCGCGTTGCTTCAGGAATTTCTAGTGTTTTGGTTTTGTTTGGTTTTTTTAAATAACTCAGAATCTAAACCACAACATAATCCTCCATTAAAAAAAAAATAAATCATTCCACAGTCATAGGAAGGCATCTTTTCCACAAACACCAGTACTAACAAACTGGAGCACATATTTACTGTATCTTTCAAGTTACTTTTCAGTTTCAGCCTTATCCTTGAATTTGCTCATAAATTCACGATTTTAAAAGCCAGAGGGACTTTTAAGATCTAATCTATCCCCTCTGTGTAACACAGGGCAGGGAATCTTACTTGATAATTTCTTCAAGTCTATAAGAGAGGTTACTGCTTTTTTTTCTTCCTGACATAATAACAGGTGGACAGACTCTGAATCTTAAAATATTTGTTCAGAGATCAATGCTGTGTGGATTCTATTTATTAAAAGTTCAAGACTTTTTCTGTTCCTGTGTGCGCAATATTGAAGGTCTTCAAGTTTAGAGTAAAAGTTGATAACTGAACTGAAATTTGCTTACAAAACACATTTAGCATCCTTTCACAAAAAATTGTTAGAAATTATGAGAAACTGCTAATACTTGCTCTAATCCTCTTCCATTTTCAAATAAGCCCAATGACATCAATGGATAATTGAGATTTCAAGAAGCTACAGATTAACTCATTATTTACAAAAAAATGTTGTTTATATGGCTCAGCAATTTTACTATCAGAAAAAAACTAAAATCTGAAAATAGAAAAGTGCCAACTGCCAACAGCCAATTCCTAAGAATACATCTGTACACTCCAAATTCATTATTGAGTATGCATGAATTAAGTCAGAAATCTTAAAAGGAGTTTTTAGGTTACCATTAAGTACTTTATTTTGCGCTTTGAAGCAGTTATGCAAATTGCACTTACCCTATTCCTTGAGCTATATGTTCCAGCTGCCGACACATGCAAGTTCTAACTTCATATTCCACATCCTCGCACAGTGATTTTACCAATGGAAGAATCTCTCTTTTAATACTAAAAGTGTGAACATTTTTTATTAATATACAGAACAATATATAAAATTATGTATTGTTCATATGTTTTCTTCATATATATTGCACATATATATAAAATATATAAAATAACAGAACAATATACAAAATCCACTCTGTAGTACTCAAATTTTAGTCACATATTCCTTCTAATTTTTTTTTTTTTAAACTAATTTACGATGCATGGTAAATGATTTTTCTGATAATTTGCAATTACAAAAGAATACTGTATATCAGACACAAATATGTGCTATAAAGAAACAGAAAAAGGATAATTTATGAGCAAATTATAATGACTGTATTTCATCTATATTTTAAAACTACAAAAATAGTAAGTAGGTTTAGAGACGCTGTCATCATTTAATAACCATCTTCAGTACAATTTTTGAACAGCCACTGTAAGAATACAAAGAATTATATAAATGGAAGTGCAAATCCGTATTTATTGTCTCTAATACCTCATCATGGTATGCATATATCACCAAAGAGATATTTGGGAAGAAAGCAGAAAAAGAATTTAAGAATAAAAGCTTCAGTACAGCAATGCATTTATGCAAGCAGACCCAAGTACTCATGTTAAATCAATGGCAGATACAAAATAACTATTTTGAATTCTATTTATGTAAAAACACATACTACAACTTGGCAGAATCAGGCATTGTGTTTCCTTTCACTGCCCAAGAATGCTGTCATGAGTATTCATAAAATATCTCTATCCAAATCCTTATGTTGTTGCAGAACTCAAGAGAAATAATATGAAGACACAGACAAGCAAATTTTCAAGCCAGCTTGCAGAGCCTCCACTCATTGTAGTGAAAATTAATTTACTTCTTATAGCAAAATTTGGCTTCAAGTTTCAAAAATTTTACAAAGTCTTTGGAGTTTGGCAATTTAGAATGCTCTGAAGCAGGGGCTACTTCCAAAAAAGACTTGTTTTTAACTAGCTGTTTGAATAGAGGGTAAAAAAAACTAATGTTCTATTCCAAGGTTGGAACTTTTTCAATATTCTATAACATAAAGTGGGAGTCATATGAAATACAAAAGAAAATTTTTTAATTATCCTATAAATTTTAGAGGAAAAATGGTGCCATCCTGAAGAAGAATGTGAAGATATGCTTATATATTGCCATCTCCTGAGCCCAGATACATCTCCTGAGCCTATACCAAGACCGCTCTTGCAAAGGGAATGAGGGTGTCATGAATCTTACTCAGCCTGCCTCATTCTAAATCTGCGGATCCAGGTCTCTTTTCAGCCCTCTGAACTGCACTCCAAGCGCTCTACCAGAGGATTAATATGTCCCAGAAAATTCTCAGCCACCTTCTTAACATATAGCTCCTGTACAGAAATGGTGTAACTATCTGTTCACTGAAATAAGGTGTTTCCTACTTCTGAATAGCAACGAATTATATTAAAGAAACCCAACAAAGTAAGGTATGATTATTTGAACTTACTATGGCTAACACTACTATAATTTCTCTTAAGATTCCAAATAATCTGGAAAGTAATTTGATTTTCATGATATCAATAAATAAAAGCAATTGTGATTCTGCCAGAATTCTACAAATTTTGAAGATAAACATTTGAAGGCTTTGGTAACATTCTCAAAAAATACTACTTTACCATACTCATTAACTTTTGTATGTCTATCAAGTATAGTCTACATAGCAAATGAAGATGTAGTTAGCTTCCTTTTGGCTGCTTCTACTTTTTTTATTGAAGAAAAAAAAATAATTTAAAGAAATTTATTCCTAAAAGTCTAGTCATATGGTCCTGTTGTTCATCTTTTATGTTATGCTGAATTCTTGCATGCTGGGACAGATCAAAATCATGATTAGAGTGGACTTCCTCAGCCAGACACGGTTTCTGTGCATTTAGTAGCCCTCATTGGTTTTCTTTTGTAACGCAAAAATCACATGTGACCAACTGCCTGGATAGGAAACACATTTGGTGAAATGGTCTACTATCATAAGACTGGATAAACTATCAAAGGAATGTACCATACCAACTGCTCTGAGCAGGTAAGTTATTCAGATTTCAGCATTGCTCCCCTCTTCTGCACCACTGTCCAAACCCACAGACACTGAATCTAAGAGATGGATAATATCAGGCAACAGCAGTGGCTTCTGATACATCTCCATTTAATTAGGGGTAGAAAAAAAAAATACATCTGTATGTTAAATTTGATTAGACAAAGAATTAGGAACAGGATTCTTCTCTATATGACAAGATCTAAGGTGATGAAGTTGTGTTTTGTCTCTGTAAATTGCAGAGAAATCCACTGCTTAGCTTATTTCCTAGTAAGAAAAACAATATGGAAGAATGGCATGAAAATGGTACCCATTCGAAGCTGTAGAAGAATACATAAACTGAAGTTATAAACTGATGAACATCAGCAAGTCTGAATATGCTAGTTACATAATGAATATTTTTTTATTATTAATTAATATCCATATAAAGGGATCTGTAAAAAGAAAGCATTTAATTTTTGCAATAAAGTCTACTTTTCTTGCAGTAATTTTTGCCTGCTAACAAAGAAATACCGATACATACTGTGGAATGAAAACATGTGTACAGTCTACTTACATATGAGCTTCAAATTTGTTAGCTAATTTTCCCATGATTTTACAACTAACTAAGCGAGATTGAAGTGTTTGAGAAAGCTGTGCTTTGGAAACAAGTGGATTCAGGATCTATATGAAAGAAAAAAGAAGACATATGAACAGAAAAAGTGTGAGCAGTAAATAATGTATACCTCCTCTTAAAAAAAAAATCTAGAAAAAACATATCCCAAATGCCAACTATGCCCTTCATGGAATTAATCGGTACTAACAATACTGATGCCTATAATAGGCTATTGGAAACCTGTATTTAATATTCAGTGCTAATTACAGTATATTAAACTCGTATCTTGGCCCAAATAATAGTTTGATTCACATCACAGCCACAGTTTTACATCTGTGTACTTGTGTCTTTATTTTGAGACTAAGTTGTGCACAAATGTTTATAACTATTAGCTGGTAATTTTCACAAAAGTTGTTAAATATGTTCTTGCACAAGAAAAAAAAATATGCAGAGAAAGGAAAAGGAAGCCTCTCTGGGGTTCTCTCTCATAAGTTTTCCCAGGAAATGCCTCTTTTGATGTAAAGTTTTGAGGCAACTATCCCTCTCGATTATGCATACTTTGGGGATCTGTAGGGAAGAGGTTTCATTTCCATACAGATGCAGAAAACCTGCATCTTTATTGGAGCTCTGCTGTCATTTGTTGGATCACCTCTATGGTGCCAGAAATGAACTAAGAAAAGCCTGCAGAACACCATATTTAGATACACCATTTTTTGCCCAGAAATAATCACAGAAATCCACATGCCAGGCCAAGAGGAATATTACAGAGAGGTATCTCCTGTAGTCTACCACAGTTCCTCACTCTCTTTTGCAGAGCTCCACAAAAGGATAATATACATGGCAGGAAAGTCCAACAAAATTCTAAAAGCATTTTTCTCCTCCTCTTACCAGCTGAAATTTTAAGGTGAGAGAATCTTACCACTCTAAGGACAAATAGATCATCCACACTAGATATAGTACATAAGGTATGTTTATAACTATATCACTGCATAAAGAAACATATCATTAGTTATCTACAAAACTGTGTATTACTTACTCAGTCTTTGAACTATGACAGCAAACACACCATGTCTAGTAATACTAACTCCAATTACTGATCTAGACACAGCCTCTCCCGTGAAGTGGCCGTTGCCAGAGACAGGATACTGGGTTAGTCTGACCTTTGGTCTGAGACACACACCTTTCCTTATGTCCTTGGAATCTATGATTGTCCTATGATTTTTACTAACAAAAAAATTAACAACTAGAATATTCCAAGTTTTCTGATACAAAGATCCTTCAAGTAACAAGAAAGGCCCCTTTTCAGATTCAGGTTTCTGTATAGCTGCTGAATCAGCACTGCTTTATCAGTTGTGATCTTCCCAAAGGAAATTTTTGTGGAAACTTACAAATGTGTTCCTAGAGACAAATCAGGGCAGAAACTCCATTGTGTTTATATGGCATCTTTAAAGTTACATTACATTTAGATTTTGGAGGTGACTACAATAATTTCTCTATTTTTTTTGCTTTCTTCCAACTTACCTTTTCACCCTTTCGAAATTTATTTTTTAAACAGTGCTGGATTTCAATTACCCACTAATTTTAATGAGTATTTTTATACTACACAATCAATCATATATTTAAATCTCCATATTGTTTTAAACTATAAACGCAGTAAAATATGCCTGTTGCAAAGCTTTTAAACTTAATAATTAAATATGAATACTTAAAACAAAACTGAATAAAATAGCTGAGCAAAGGGGAGTGACATTATGACTTGGTGACAGATTTCCTTCTTCTTTCTCAAGCTACACAGGGAAAAATGAAGAGTGTTTGCAGGCATTAGGTTTTTGGCACATCAAGAACAACGGAAATACACAATGAAATGGATCTCTAGCATTTAGCCCCATTTAGCAGAAATCAGAAGTTTAGTCCAGTAGCAAACAAAATACAGTTTCTTCATGAAGACAAAGAATGATATACTATCCTGTAAACCAAAACAGGACACATGATAATATGTTACTAAGAATACTAAGAGCAGTCAAAGTGTTACAGTAAATAGTCTTTATTTGCTGAAAAACACTAAAATTTAAGGTGACCTTCCTGTCTCACCTTTTAGCACATTCCTCTCTTACAGTATGTTCCACAAGCATTACTGTTTTCACAGGCACAGAACTGCCACAAATCTTACCACAGTAAATGAGACTTGCAGGGAAATACAATCTTACAAAGTATTATTCATTTGTTGTTAGCGTAAGTGGGAGAATATTAATACCTCATGTCTGGTAGTCTCTTTTGGTAAAGCTTCTATTACAGTAAGAAGAGTTTCTAGCCATGCATTGCTGACACCTGTTAGAAAGAAATGGGTTATACGTTATGTGGTACATATAACAAGTATAGCAAACCACACATCAGTTTTACAAAATTAGTTCTCACTTTTTACACACATCTCTTCAAGGAGCTATGTATCTAAAAGCCACTAAATTAGCATTCAAGACTTCAAACTAAGTGGGATAGGTGAGAAGTAAATTCTGTCCCCATTTCTTTTACCTTTTCAATTCCTGTACAAAAATAATAATGATCCTTTTTGTTTTGAAAAGATAATTTCCCTCATTTAGAAGCATATTCTTTTCTTATGACCGCTGAAAGTTTCTAGTTTTACAAGAGGGCTTTTTTTTTTGCATCCTAAAAATAGTGTCAAAGAAGTTAAGAAAAACTAATCACCAGAGAAGAAATGTCAACCATCTTCCCTCCATTTTCCCAGCCACAAAATTCTGGTATTTCAGTAGAAGCTCAGACTCAGTAACAACTTTGGGATTTAGTCCTTCAGACAAAGTGGTTTTGTTTGCTTCAATCAGAATTACATTTAAATATCAGTATGTAAGTGGTCAGCATTCAGAAATCTTCTCATTCATGCAAGTCTAGACACAAAGTCACAGTGACTGCACTCACTACTTTACACAGTATTGTACAGTCACTAAGAAAACAAAACATATAGAAGTAATCAGTCATCAGGATAGTTGTAAGCCCTCACCTGCGTCTCTATGTTCCAGGTTCTGGAGAATGATGTGTAGGAAGGAGTGGGAGTACGTATGAATGGACACCAACTCCTCTTGTAGAACAGTCAAAAATGAAGCAGCAGCTGTTAACTGCATTTCCACTCCTGCAATGTGCAGCACCTCCTGTATAATTATAAATTACATCAATTCAGAGAATGAGGTAGAAATGTACTGAAAGAATATTCAAATTTTTACATTCACTTTTAAGTGTGAATATGCAACAACCTGGGTAAACTACAAAATTGGTTGTAAAATTATTTTCTCTTAACAGCAATTACTTGGAGATACTAAATTCTCTTATATTATAGCATAATTTTAAGAAAATTTTAAGAAAAATAAAGTTAATTACAATTTTTTTGTGAGTTTCATTTTAATCAATGCATATGTGTGGATTTTTCTACTTTATAAAATGAGAGGTAAAAACAGACTAGCCAAAAATTGCACTTCTGCTGTTTATGCACCTGAATTAAAAAGAAAAATTTCATTCACCCAGTGAGAGATACTAAAATAGAAGCAGCAATTTAAATTTCATTCCTTGCCAATATGAGAGAGAGAGTGTCTTAAGAATAAGAGCAAGTTACCTAGAATATTTATCCAGGTAACTCAGCATTTACTAGTATTTAGCTTTAACATACAAGAATGTAATTAATTAGTCTGTCTTTAAAAGCATCAATTGAGAAGTTAAATAAAGATAATACAGGAATGAAATATTACTGAATTTTTTGAATTAAACAAAAAGGCAATTTAAATTCCAGATTTACGCACACGCCAAAGAGCTTGCAGGATGCAATCTATGACATAGCATTCATTGAAGGTATGTACATATCTATCAGCTAGGTGAATATTCCATTTGTTTACTTCTCTAAATGTATCTCTCTCTCTCATGAGAAAATAAAGTGCATTATTCTACTACTAAAGCATTACACTCATTTTACAAGTGATTCCAAACTCAGTAAGACTCTAAAGCCCATACTTCCTATTTAACAGTTTAAAAAAAGAAACAAAACTACATATATAAAGGGCTTGAGATGAACAGTGCTCTCTCAGATCACATACCAAAAAAAAAAATAAATATATATATAAGCTGGATATAAGCTGGTATTTTAACTTTTTTAAAAAAATCAGCCTAGACTACATTAAGAAAATATCCAATATGCATCTAAATATTATACAGCAGAGGAGTTTTGCTGAGAAAATACAGTTTGCAGAGAATATCTGAGAAATTATTTAGTAGACTTTGTTTTCTTCAAAGTAAAACAAGAAGTAGTTTTCATTACACAAATGTCAACCAGTTTGTGTGCAAATGAGTAATTTTTAGTTTATCTGATTTCAAAGAGAACCACTACTTATCTCTCAACACCTGCCTCAGTTTACAGTCATGTATATTTGTAAAAGCATTCTCTGTCCCCCTGCTCCCCCAAACGAAAAAAAGAAACAGCATTGCACAGCTTACCAATCAAAGTGTGATAAAACATTTGCATTCGATAGCCATGGAAACCACCGTCTTGTTATCTCCCCAGCCTATCTCTGTCCTTGTTCCTCCATTGTTATTACAACAGTCACAGCCAAGAATAAGGACATCTACCAATTTTTCAATTTGAATGTTTCTGGGATTAGAAAACCTGCGCATACTGTTCTGGGATTTTGGCTTACACTTGTTCAAAAAAACAACCCCAAAATAATCAAAAGAATTATCTACACGCTGCAGATGCTAAGACACCACTGCAGACCAGAACATAACGGAGCTGAATTCAATTTTATGTACGTATTCACTTTGTACACAATGCAAACAGGGTTACTTACCATCAAATAAAGTTTCCAAATAGTCTCCTCCACAGATCCACACAACTCTGGATAAGCATGTGTGAGAACACATTCTCTGGATGTGCCTCCTCATGGACCTCGGGAGACATTGAAATGTAAATTTCTAGACTGCTTACACACTTGCCTGCATTGATGTTTGCGCTCAGAACTGCACAGTTCCACATATGAAAATGCATGGGTCTCCTCATTCTAATTTCACTGAACTTGAGTGACTTAAATTTACTTTTTATATAAAGTTGTTTATTTAGAAAGTAATGTATTTTTCTATACAAGGATCCTCCACAGACTCTCTGGAGTAAAAAAAGTTTTTCCTGTCTATCTTATTCAGACAAGCATATCTGATGGATTTCAAGGGTATTAGCACGCTCTTGAACTATCCTAATGTCTACAAGTTAAACTCGGGCATCAAAACTTGCAAAATTTAGAAAGCCTGGGTTATTCCATTAATTGGAGAACAGAAAATTCACCTCTAGTTTAATGCACTTTACGTCTTGCTGCAACAGAATTCTCTTGAAAGAATGCTGCAAGCAGAAACACGGTCAATCATTTTAGTCTCTGCGTTGGTGTGACAGAAATCTTCTTTTAGGACTAGAAAGACACAGAAATATCGGAGATTACAGAAGCTCAAATATACAATGAGGATGGACTTTAAAATCAATGTTATGTATAAGATGGGGTGAAAATCACCCCACTTCTTAAACTATGAAATCAACTAGGGAAAAAGAAAAGCTTTCAAGGAGAGACTGATATATTAGGAAAATAAGTAACTGTGAAAATTAGTTGGGAACTAATCAGACAACACCAAATAAGGCTTGATGTATACACTTTAACAAGAGCAGCCATAGTTTTCTGCAATCACAGCATTTGAAAAAAAACCTCTTATTAGTCAATCAGATAGACACCTGCAATCTCCCTCCACTGCTTTCAGTGGCAGTGCCCAAGGATGGAAAACAGAAAATACTACTAACATCATTTGAAAGGAGCCATTTGGTGCACAACAAGAAATGCTGAGAAGAATGTCTAAGCTGTCCCTAATCTGCATTTCAATGACTTCCAAGGTTCATGAGAAGGTGCATGCAGAAATCCAGAGTGGGGATGCAAAAGAACCCATACAAGAATGCCACTTCATTTTAACTGTAAAATTTTTAAAAATATTTCATAATCTCATTCCTACATTAACATCTAAATGATATACAACGTACTTGTTTTATTGGCATAATCAAAATACTGACACCCAGTTTAGTCATTACTTAGATCTGGCACATTTATTGACATATTGTATCTTTGGTTTTATTCATCTTAGACCTAAAACATGTTAAATATATAAAGGATCTTTCATATCATTTTAATTTAATTAGGTTTTAAGGAATGATAAGCAATTTGCATATATCCATTTCTATATTTATTTATAACAGTAACCAGGTTTACCAATTTCTCACAAGTGAAAAAAAAATTTGTAACATATCCAGCCAGAACATTCCTTGCATTTATTTCTTCCTGTATCTGTTTTATCCTCAGCTCTAATAAAAACAGTATTTATTTTTGCTTTGGGTTTCTGCAAGTATGCTAAATAAGTACATTGGTTTCCCTACCCAGTTGTATGGTGACAATACTTCCAGATAAATAGCACCCTGAAACTACTATACAACTCATTTTTCATGTGCAAATTTGAATTCACAAATTATTTTTCCCAGTCTACAGAAATGAAACCGAGTGCAGTAATTTAAGTCAGCTTATTTCCCTGCACTGCCAGACTACATTTGCAAGAATCTAATTGCAGTTGAATTCAATTATGCCTTTATAGACTGTAACAGTTTCCATTTAATGGTCAGGACTATTCCTCCAAGAAAAAAAAAAAAGAAAAAAAACTAGGTCAAGTGGTTAACAAAGTCAAATACTGTTTTGCAGTTAAAAGTGCAGTAAACACGGGTACAATAGAACTTTTCTCCTATTATAGATTAAATAAATATTAGATAACTGAGCACCTACTTTATAAGAAGGTAGCCACAGAAAGAAATTTAACTCACATACATTCCAGAAAGTTTCAATTTACAAAGCTTAAACCTGAAAGGAACACTTAGATTTAGACTGACCTCATTATACTTCACTCTTTTACCTATGCCTTGAGCCCATTAACTTAAGTTTCATTTAATTTATCATCTAGGAAGGCATTCAGTTTGGACATAAATGACACTGCAAGATGAAAACAACACTACTTTTCTCAGTTACTTGCTCAAAGATTTATTATTAAAATTGTCTGCTTCATTTCTAGTATTTCTGCCTTCAATTCCTAACTCTTCTTTTTACATATAGTTTTCTCAGTTGAATGTCCTTTAATATTATGCAGGAATATACTTTTACAAAGTAATTAAGTACTGGTTGATCTAAACACACTGAGCTCCAAACTCCCACCGTAGAAATATTTTCCAGGCCCTAGGGCCTGATCATGCTAATGGATCATGCTTTTAAATTTTTTCTTCATCTCTATATGAAAAACCTAAGACTAGAATCAAAAGTATTCCCATATTAGCTTTCTTTTAAAGACAGAGGCAAAGACTACCACTTTTCGACACCCTAACAAATAAAGGTAAAAAAACCCCAGCATTTATTACTCCTTCATTTCAGGAAGAACTCTGCTCTCGAAGCAGAAACACCACATATAAAAATGGATTCAGTATGTTAGAAAAAAAAAACCACCCACAAACAAAAACCACTTTTCTTGAAGGCAGTAGATTGGTTTAGGAAAGAATGTATTATGAATGTCAGAATAACATGTGGTTCTAACTGCAGAAACTTGGTGTAAACTACAGGGTTTTCAATTACTTTGCAACTTCAAGTCATTGTTTTTCTCAAAGTATTTTTTTTAATACACATATATATTTCAACAAAATGCCTATTAACCTGCATCTCATAGCACAGAACACGATAATTAGAAGTATTTTAATGTTTTCTAAACAATGTCAGTCTGTACACTAGTCCTCAGTTCTGAGGACAGCTATTTCTTGGCCATTTGCTGAATTTAAATAGTCAGACAAAAGCTGGAACAGCTCCTCTCAAGAAATATGAGCCTCCTGGGATCACAGAAGTTTCAGGAGACAATACGAAGTTGAATGGTGATGTCTGATATTCACAGAATCACAGAATGGTTGAGGCTGGAAGGGTCCTCTGGATGTCGTTTTGTCCAATCCCCCTGCTCATTCAGGGCCACCTAGAGTCAGAACATGCCCAGCTACCTTTTGAATATATCCAAGGAGGGAGACAACGATCTGTCTGGGCAACCTGTGCCAGTGCCTGACCACCCTCAGTGAAAATGTGTTCCCTGATGTTCAGAGGGAACCTCCTGTGTTTCATTGCCTCTTGCCCTGTCACTGGGTACTACTGAAAACAGCCTGGCCTTGTCCTCTTTGCATCTTCCCTTCAGGAACTTATATACATTGGTAAGATCCTCTCCAAGCCTTCCCTTCTGCAGGCTGAAGAGTCTCAGCTTTCTCAGCCTTTCGTCATAGGAGAGATGCTTCAGTCCCTTATTCCTCTTCATGGACCTTGACTGTACTCTCTTCAATGTGTTCGTGCCTCTCTTGTACTGGGGAGCCCAGAACTGGACAGTGTTCCAGGTGTAGTAGAGTAGAAGGAGGAGTAGAGGGTGGTGTAGAGGGGAAGGACCACCTTCCTCAAACTACTGACAATGTTTTGTCTAATGCAGCCCAGGATGCTTTGCTGCAAGGGCACGTCACAGGCTCCTGTTCAACTTGGTGTTGATCAGGACTCCCAGGTCCTTTTCTGCAAAGCTGCTCTTCAGCTGGGTGGCCCCCAGCATATACCGGTGCATGGAATACTACTGAGTACATCTGCCATATAGAACCTAAGACTCCTGTGCAGTAGGGTTTACATTTAAATATCCTCCAGAAGAATATTTGCTAAGTAATCATGTTGAGGACTACATACACATTTGTGCCTCATCTTTCAGTCAATCAATTCATAACCAATGAGCAGAATATAACTCATTAAATTAGTTTTTCATAAATACTGAATTGCTCCTTGAGTAGCCTCTTTCTTAAGATTAGGAAGCAGAGGGAGGATTCAGTTTAAGACCAATTCCACAGATAGTAAGAAACACACCAAGTAATTTTTCATAATATGGTAATTTTTCTTGAATTTCTTCTGAAAGGCCACTACCTTAAAAGTTAAAAATAAAAAAAGCTGAGAGAGATATCCACACAGCTTTTCAATAAAAGCAGGAATTCACTTCTTCAAAATTTCAGCAAAGAAAACAATGAATTATCAATGAGAATTTACTGGAAGAAACAAGTATCATCTTTGCATGGGCCCACTTGACCATTTAGCAATCATCTCCTTGGTAGATAGAAAACTGTATAACATAAGCATGTGACTCAGCCATCTCACCTTTGTTACTATACTTTCTTACACCTGGCGATGAGAATCTCATACAGACACAGCAAGAAAACTCACAGCAGCTACAACAGAAGAATTTTTCTTCTCATCCGTAAAGTACTTGAGATAGAGAGGACAACACAGGTGAGGATATTCTTAACATAACTCAAACTTTCAGTTCAATGTATTTTAGATCATCAAATTCACATTTAGCTTGAGTCAGTAACTAGTTAAACTCTTTCCATCTTTCTGAAGATATCCAAATACTCCTCTTAAGCATTAGTTGTTTGCAACAAGAAAATAACATTCCTGTTGGCAAATTGTGTTGCAAAGGGAAAGAATTTTAAATTATATGGAGGAAAAAACCCTGAATTCTACAAAGTGTCCTGGTAAAATCATGACTGAATCACACTACTGAAAATGTCAAACGTATCTCTCAAAATGTACGGGGAAACTGAGTCTGCCCATAAAATTAGGAATACAACTCAATGCTTTGAAAATAAAATTTCTACAAGAAACCTTGTGATTTTTACCACTTTTCCCACAGAGTGCACATACATTCAAACAGCTACTAACAAACACAATGTTCCTTTAGCTGACAATTTGTATAAATTAGAACCGAGTTTACAACAAAGTGATCAATTCCATGAGACCAGTTCAGAGACTGATCTAAATCAAAACTTTGACTTAATCACATAAAAACTGTCAGTGGTATCAGTAGAAGACTGACAATACACTGATCCAATAAAAAAAAAAAGCCTCAGAAATTTGCTGTTACCAAAATAAACTTTCAGATATTTTGACAGTCAAAACCAGTGTATTTTTCTACTCAGCTGGCAGGCTTTAAAAATCACTGAAAATCACTCTAACAGACAGGCTAACATAATCAGTGTCTTAATTCCTGTCGCAGCCTTACATACAGTTACTGGAGTTGTTTAGAGTTATTTAGCTTTAGAGTTACTAGGCTTTGCATTTGCATTTGTGATGCAGTTTGTTCTTTTTTTGGCTCAAGCTGCTCCTTAAACTACACCTTAAATTAACTTTAATTTCTTCTAGGCAAGAGGTCATACTCAGGGCAGAGTGGAAATGCAGAGATATTTATCTTCCCTAAAATCATAGAATGGTTTGGGTTGGAAGGGATCTTTAAAGGTCATCTAGTCAAACCCCTCCTGCAATGAGCAGGGACACCTTCAACTAGATCAGGCTCCTCAAAGTCCCATCCAACCTGACCTTGAATGTTTTCATGGATGGGGCATCTACCACGTCTCTGGGCAACCTGTTCCAGTATTTCACCACCCTCATCATAAAAAATTTCTTCCTTATATCTAGTCTGAATCTACCTACCTTTAGTTTAAAACCATTACCCCTTGCTCTATTGCTATAGGCCCTACTAAAAAGTCTGTCCCCATCTTTCTTATAAGCCCCCTTTAAGTATTGAAAGGCTGCTATAAGGTCTGCCCGGAGCCTTCTCTTCTCCAGGTTAAACAACCTAGATATCCTTTATACAAACATATCTGTATATAAAATTACGGTATAACATTACATGGCCAACATGCATCTACGACAGCTAGCAGTGACTTACTAAAAATATGGAGGGCAGCACGTGAAACTTCAGACAGCTAAAAGTAAAGTATAATTTTCTGGATAGCAGCATGAAAACCTTAATGTTTGGATGGAAGGAGACAGAGAACGTCAAAATGAACCATTATGACTGGCTGGTCCTCAAAGAGTTCTGAAAAAGCTGTCAAAACACTGGTAAATCTTTAGAATATGTAAATAGTATTAATTCTGCTTTCTTTTCCTGTTGTAACATTTTTTAAAAAATATAATCCCTGCAATACTTCATAAATCCAGTGAATTAACGTGGAAGATCTGCTGGGTATACCTCTCCTAGGGAGTACGCTTGTATTAAAAGTGGGATTTTTTTGCCTTTGTTAAAATACTTATACTGGCAGAAAAAGATACAGTGAAACCTCATTACACACAACTTACCCTGATTTTTGGTAAAACCCGACGAAGTGTTTCTGCAGGATTCTGTCGCATCAGGACTGGAAGATTTGCTACCACGCTTGTTCCTTGGATATCCTGGCCAGAACTTACAAAAATATATATATACAATACATTACTTTCTATGATGATTACAAGCTCACAGCTTTCATTAAAAAACAAACAAAAAAAAAAAAAACACAAAAAAAACCCCAACACACACACACAAACCCACACTACCCAGGTTATTCATATAGTAAGTTGAGAGGTATTACTTTTTTTTTCATAATACATAGTAGAAAACAACATTAAAAAATATCAACCATAAAAACTGTTATGTATCATTTCTAATGCAGAATGTTCTAATTTTTAGTGTAGCTTTGGAAAAAATATAAAATGTTTGAAAGATCTTTTCAAACTGGATGATCAAGGCAGTGGTTTTGTGAAAGTTTTTATGTTACAACAATACAAGCCGTAAAGTGTAGGAAGTGGACAAATAGAAAGCATAAATGAAAACAACACTCAACATACACATTTTAACAGAAATCTACCATTTTTTCCTTTTTGTATGGAAAACATGTATAATCAGATGTATATTCACAAACATGATTAAAGAAGGATACAAAAATTTGGTTAGATTACAGATCTTGTACATTTCTCATCATCCTTTCTCTCTCAATGGTATCCCACAATTGAAAAAGTGAACCCTAGTTTACTCCTGTGTTAGGTTTCCATTCTGCAGACGGGTGTAAGTATCTAACTCACCAACTACAAACTATTACTCTGTATAAGGCTCTTAACATGGGAAAATCTCTGCCCAAACAAAATCTTCCCCTTCCAGAAAGAGTAAGTCTTGCTATGGCAGATACGGCTTAATTTTTCTACAGAATAACACAGAGTACCTGTAATTTGAAAGTATATGTCTAAAGCACGTATGATAGAATTAACCTAATCTTAGATTGTGTGAGTCTGCCTCTAAGATAATATTCCTTTAAAATCAATGGAGAGAACTAGGACTCAATAAAAAGCAATTTCTCTCAGCCCAAATAGATGAGACTGACAGTGCCCCTGAAGTGCCCGTTTCCCTCTGCTGTCTGTAAAGGCAGACACAAAGACCAGCTCTCCTGGCTGTACCTGCATTGTAAGTAAACAATGGCTCCTGCCCACAGAAACACATTATAAGCCTTAGTCCTACAGGCATTCATGTTTATGCTTAACTTCACCGCTGCAAGTAGTCCCATTGATTTCTCATATAGCAATATATTAGAATCACAGAATATCTTGAGTTGGAAGGGACCCAGAAGGACCATTGAGCCCAATTCCCTGCTCCTCAGAGGACGACCTAAAACTAAACCACATAACTAAGAGCATCGTCCAGATGCAAATTGAACTCTGACACGCTTGGTGCTGTGACCACTTCCCTGTGGAGTCTGTTCCAGTGACTGACCACCCTCTCCGTGAAGAACCTTTTCCTGATGTCCAGTCTGAACTTGAATTAACATCTTTAGAAATGCTTGTGTGATTATAGCACCTAACTAATAAAACTAATTTGGGACAAAATAAAACATTCCTACTTCCCTGAGCTCCAAAGCAATCAAGAAGGATCCACCACAGCCATGCCAGTAACTGTTCTAAATAGGAGCTACAGACCACAAATGCCAGGAACCAGTATTTTTGTCTTTTTTTTAATGGACCATATATATCTTAAACGTAGGAAGATAAGAACCCAAACAGAAGAGTTACCATAAATTCTAAGATGAGTAACAAGCAAGCAGAAAGCTGTGAACACTGTGCTGAGGTTGCAACACTCTGACCTGCTGAGCAAAATCTGGGAATCACTCCCACAGTGGAGACTTCACCTTTACTGTGCCTATACATTTACAACAACAAAGAGCAAACAAAAGTTACAGCTGGTGATGCAGCTCAACACAGATGTAAAAACCAATACACTGAAATTCACAATATCAGAGCGTAGTAACAAAAATATTACTTAAAAAAAAAAATCAACAGGCTGAAAACAAGACAAATTTACAGTACACAATTTGAAGGTCAAGATGAAGAGGCTTGACATAGCATAAAAACAATCATCATTTCCTGTATTTTTTGAATATGCATTATCTTTCTCTCTTGGTATATACCTTACTTTAGGAATACAGAAAATTACTAATCCAATACTGCATATTTTTTTAAATATAGTATGTATTCCAACTGAGAAAATGTATCAGTATTTTTGTAGTTTTTTAATCCTCCGTTAAGACCACTACTGATATAAAATTCAGCTGATGTGATTTTCTTTAAAAGTATTGGGAACCAATTTCCTGGTTAGTTACCATATACACCTCTCTATATTTTTAACTGTTGTCTGTAAACACAAGAATATTGACAAGTTTTGATAGGGCAAAGCTACACCAAAGCTCTTTTTAATGTCATTCAAAACCAGCAAGAATGGATGAAGGTACAGATTTTCAGACTGATTTTAATATTAGCATCCCTGCAATCTTATTTGGTAAACATGCATGAGCTCTTTCAATAAAAACACATCTCTCAGTAGCATCTATACTCAATGAAAGCACAGTATTCTGTCAACTACTGAAAATGGACTTAAATAATGATTAATAACTGATTTATTTACAGCTTGCAATATTTTTGCATGATTCAAAACCATTTTATTATCTAATTTAAAGCCATGAATATTAAAGTCTTTCATGTTTATGGCAGATTTCTCCGAGTATCACATACTAATGCCAACAAAGCTTTAAAGCAGAACTGAGAAATCTTAGAGCTCCCAGAGCGGGAAAGGGTCATGGAGTGGATGAGGTCCATTAACTTCTTAGGGTACAACTTGCAAGGAAAGATGCATACCTTTGTATTATCCAGCAATAATGCAAAAGGTCAAGGTAATTTGGAGAAGCTATTTAATTCAAATTTTATTAATTTTGTATCAAGATAGAAGAAATCCTAACTGTTAAAAAATGCAACCAAAATGCAACCTTTATCCATCAGAAATGTAAAGAAAAGAGGAGTGTTTCCCTTTAAAGCAGAAATGCTTAGTATCTGGCTTGCTGCCAATTAAGAATGTGAAGCAGAAGGCGTTTCAACACCTACACAGCCTGTAATTTTCCAACTGTGGAAGATTTTTCTTCCATTTCTATCAAAGAAGCTGCACCAAAGATTTTCTTTAAATATTAAAGACTTCAGGATTATAGTGAATTATTGCTAAATGCTCAGATTTAGACACTTTTGTACTAATAAATATATTAAAATAAATGCTAAATCTTTTCTTCGGAGTAACAGTAAGCTCAATGTAACGAAGGCGCTATTCCTTTATTAACAGTGCTAACTATAGAAGAACTCAACATAGCCCTATACTTAGAAGCAATTTAGCTCAACCTCTTTTGTGCTAGCAAACTCCACATTGATAATAGCATTTAAATATAAAACTTCAAGACTCATCTTCTGAGTTCATCCTACAGGAGATCCCAGTGACATTACAATGCTGGGAATCCTCAACCAGGGGGAAAGCTCTCGTGCCTAAACACTTCTGTCCTAATACTTAACTGCCTGCGCAACACCAGCTGTTTGCTGCCAGCCAGCAGTACCAGAGCTGGTCTTACTACACAACTTATTGAAGAGCTAGTACTTCTCAAGCACAAGCATAGCACTAAGCCTCTCCCTCTAGCCTCTGCATTTGGTTTTACTTGTTTTTTTTCTACCCTCATAAAATGAAGTCTATGTTATACTTGGGAATTGCTTGAGACTGGAGCAAATCCTCCTAGAAACTATTTACAAACACACAAAGGACAAAAAAGTGACCGGCAGTAATAAGCCTGGATTTGTGAAAAGGAAATCATGCCTGACCAACCAACCAACCCAACAAAGTTCTACAATGAGATGACCATTTTGGATGGTGGAAGTTGTTTAACTTATTTTAGCAAGGCTTTTGACATCACCTCCCATAATATCCTCATAGATAAATCAATGAAGTACAAGTTAGATAAATGGAAAGTGATGTGGACTGAAAACTGGCTGAACTATTGTACTTAACAGGTTGTGATCAGTGGCAAGGCAGGGAGCTGGAAGCCAGCCATGAGCGGTTTACCCAAAGGGTCTACATGGAGGGCAATACTGTTTAACATTTTCATTAATGAGCTGGATGATGGGACAGAGTGCACCCTCAGCTAGTATGACAGCAGATGACATAAGACCTGGAGGAGGGGTTGATAGACCAGAAGGTTGTGCTGCCTTAACAAGCTGGAGAAACAAACAAACAGGGACCTTACAAAGTTCAACACTGGGAAATGCAAGTCCTGTAGTTGTGGAGGAATAACCCTGTGTACCAGTACAAGCTGGCGGTCAGCCAACTGGAAAGTGGTTTTGCCAGAAAGTAGCTGGAGGTCCCAGTGGACACCAAGCTGACCAGAAGCCAGCAATGCAACCTTACGGCAAAGATGGCTGACAGCATCCTGGGCTGCACTGGCAGAGCATCACCAGCAGCTCAACGGAGGTGATCATTCTTCTCTATTCAGCACAAGAAACTCATAGACAGATGGCAGCGAGTCCATTGAAGGGTCACTAAAATGATTAAGGGATTACAGCATCTAATATTTGAGCAGAAACTTAGACAATAGGGATTTTTAGTCTCAAGAAGAGAAGGCTTGGGGGCTGTATTTAATATGTACAAAATCCGATGTGAGGCAGTAAAGAAGACAGAAGCAGATTCTTCCCAGTGGTGCCCAGTTACAGAACAAGAGGCAATAGGGTCAAATTCAACATACAGGAAATTTCACTTCAACTTTAAAAAAAAGTTTTTCCACATCAGAGCGCTCAAATATTGGAATGAGTTGCCCAGACAGGTGGTAGAGTCTCCATCCTTAGGATTTAAAATCCTGAGTTCAGGACAAGACCCTGAATACCTTGCTCTAATTGACACTGCTTTGAGCAGAGAGGTGGACTAGACAATCTCCAGAGGTCCCTTCCCGCTACAACCATACTATGATTCTATGATTATATTCAGGATAGGTGTTTCCAGGTTTGCAAACTTTCAGTAAGCTCAGGGCAGACAGTAAGATCTCTTATATTTAAAATAACTAATGAGTTATAATGGATGTT